CTTATGTCCCAGGGCCCCGCGGGCCCTCGAGTTGTGGGGCGTCCGCACTGGGGTGTCCAGACAACGTTCCTTGCGAGCTCCGGGAGGCGGGAAGACAGCCCCGGGCGTCCCGCCTTTCTTCTCCAGAAAACGCAAGCCCCGCATCGCGCTCTCCCATTCCTCCTGCTCCAACGTCCTCTGGTCCTTCTTTCTGTCTGTGCCTCCGTCTTTGTCTCAACCTCTCAGGTTTGCTCGCTCCCTGCCCAGATTTTGTGGCCCAGGCCCCCGGCTGCCTGACTCCGGGTTTCTGTCCCCTTCCTGCCTCTGAGCTTCTATCTGGGCCTCCCCTGTGGGAGGCTTGCGACTTGACCAGTTTTGGCCTCAGCCCCCATCTGGGTCCCTGTCCCCATCTGTGCTGGTCTTCCTCCCCGCTTCTCCCTCGCTTGCCTGGGTGAGCTGCTTCTTTCCTGATCCCCAGAGGAGCCCAGTGCCCCTGCCCTGGGGAGGGGCAAAATGGAGAGGCCCAGCCTCCGTGGCCAGCACATGGGGTCCCTGAGTTAGTTGCTGCCCTTCTTCAAACTCAGTTTCCTTTCCTGTTCTGAGGAAAGAGGTACGTCCCTCTCCCAGCCTTTCCACGCCCGTGTGATTGTGAGAGCCTTGTGGGGTGTGTGTTTGGGAAGGCAACTGGGGTACAAATGATAGGACACAGTGGGGAAGAGACAGGGAGGGGGTCTCTGAGGGCCATGGCTAGGGTGGGCAGGACCCTGAAGCTGAGGATGGGGAGATTGGAAATGGTGACTTTCTCTGCTGGGTTGGGAGTGAAGAGAAAACAGAGGCACAAAGTCTCAAACAGCGTTCTACATAGAGCTAGAGAGTCCCGCACTCTCACCCTCAGCACTGTTTGGAGACTCTGGCCCCCAACCCTGACACACACATACATGAACATCTGCTTGCCCTGTTGACTTAGGACCTTGAGCCACTTGGGTACCCTCCCTGAGGCCAGCCATTCTACCTTGCTGTCTCATTCCCAGGGCTTCGTGTCTCTATTTCTTCCTCAGTCAGGAAACTGTGGGGATGGCTTTTTAAGAACCACAGGCTAGGACCCTTGGGTGTTCACATGGGCTCCAGTCTCCCCACGGGTTGTCCCTTAGAGACTGTCTTTGCCTCTTCCCTGGTGGGTCCTTAGACAGCAGTTCCTTCTCTCTGGAAATTCAAGGCTCAGGATGGGGACCTCTGAGTTTGTAACTCTGACATAGTCTGTTCCAAAGGTATTGACCTCGGGATCCTGGGAGGTTTATACTGTTCTTGGACACCCTTTGATTTACAGAGGGGTCAGCATTGGCTAGGGTCTCCTGTCCTCTGCCTGGGACTTCACTGCTTGCATCCCTCCCCACTGCTGAGTTTGGTAGGTGAATAGGGCCCATCTCTCACCCAGCTGAGGCCAGGGCTGAGAGACAGGCCCAGGGGAGTCCCAGGAGCTTCTCAACCTACTTAATGACACCATCCTGTCCCTGGTTCTTGAGTACCCAGGAAAGGAGCTTGTGGGGAGGCAGAGTCAGAAGGGGCAACTGCTCTCAGGCTCCACTTTTCCTGGTCTGTTTTTCTGTCTTTCTGTATCTCTGCAGGAGCTGGGTCCCTTCGCATCTCTCTTCTTGTCTGTCCTTTCCTGGTCCCTGTTTCCTCCTCTCTTTGCCTTCGCTGCTTCTAATCTCATCCCCTGGAGACCCAGGTCTGCTGGACCCATCCATCCCCTTTGGGGCCATGGGATCACTGCTTGGGCTCCTGGCACTGCTGCTGCTGTGGGGTGCTGTGGCTGAGGGCCCAGCCAAGAAAGTGCTGACCCTGGAGGGAGACTTGGTGCTGGGTGGGCTGTTCCCAGTGCACCAGAAGGGCGGCCCAGCAGAGGACTGTGGTCCTGTCAATGAGCACCGTGGCATCCAGCGCCTGGAGGCCATGCTTTTTGCACTGGACCGCATCAACCGTGACCCGCACCTGCTGCCTGGCGTGCGCCTGGGTGCGCACATCCTCGACAGCTGTTCCAAGGACACACATGCGCTGGAGCAGGCACTGGACTTTGTGCGTGCCTCACTCAGCCGTGGTGCTGATGGCTCACGCCAC